GTAGATACGGTGAGGTATATTACGGTAGATACGGTGAGGTATATTACGGTAGATACGGTGAGGTATATTACGGTAGATACGGTGAGGTATATTACGGTAGATACGGTGAGGTATATTACGGTAGATACGGTGAGGTATATTACGGTAGATACGGTGAGGTATATTACGGTAGATACGGTGAGGTATATTACGGTAGATACGGTGAGGTATATTACGGTAGATACGGTGAGGTATATTACGGTAGATACGGTGAGGTATATTACGGTAGATACGGTGAGGTATATTACGGTAGATACGGTGAGGTATATTACGGTCAAAACGTTGATTTATATCTTAATTATCACTCGCTTTTCCAACAAAATCGGGTTATATTAATTTGGGCCCGTCTGTCTGTCCGTCTGTCTTTCCGTCTGTCACGTTTCGGTTTTCGTGCAATAGCTACGCTAATAATGGTCTAATATAATCAAAATTTGGTCTGCACATACATTTTAACTCGTTTAAGACTAAGTTGGCTCGTTAATAGGATCCTTGCATATTCATGCGTAAGTTATTACACCTATTCCTTTTCATTGGCTAATTGGGCGTGCACATACATATCAACATGTTTAAGTTATGTGGTCAATGTCATCGGTGCATATTTACGCATGATTACTTACTCCTATATATTCTGACTAGCATATTAGTTTCCATGTAATAAGTGCGCTGATAATGGTCCTTTTTCAACAAATATTGGTGTGCACATGCATATTAGCATGTTTCGGGCTCCATTCGCTCACCAATGTGATCCGTGGGAATTTACACATAAATAATACAAATTGTACCATGTCATTATATTTGACAATATTTCCCCACATCATGTATCTCAAACTTCTATTTCAATAGGCACCCAAAGACACAAAACACTTCCTCTAAGACATGTCCTTAGAGCGGGGGATAGGAATTAAGGCATGTCCTTAGAGCGGGGGATAGGAATTAGGACATGTCCTTAGAGCGGGAGATAGGAATTAAGGCATGTCCTTAGAGCGGGGGATAGGAATTAAGGCATGTCCTTAGAGCGGGGGATAGGAATTCCACGAATTTGCTTGTTATTTCTTATTTTGTACCAATTCAAATACTCTGGTGTTCCAGTGTTTGTTACACTGCTATTACAGGTGTTCCAGTGTTTGTTACACTGCTATTACAGGTGTAGCCGCTAAGTAACGTATTCATGAAACCGTTCTCGTGCTCAAGTCTGGATTCTGTACTCAAACCAGCTTGCTTGTAACTCGCTTAAAACATGTGACACAGTAAAAAAGCAAACATTTTAAATAACTATCTGTTTGAAGTTTCTCTGAAGTTCTTCCAAATCAAGGTCAAAATGTGTTTTTAAGACGCGAGCAGCACGCAGTGCTCCGCGGCTTATTGTTGTTGGTTTAACGGAAGTCCTGTGTAGGACTATGCATGTACCAGAAGTGTGTGATTCCCTGTTCAAGTGTATTATCCAGGCGAATGGCAATCTCACTTAACGCTGTTATGGTTAGCAAAATACATTAATAACATTTTCAACCGTACAATGAATATTTCCCTTTGAAACGCAAAAGAAAACCTATCAGTTTTTCTTTGTCATGTGGAAAATGGCTAACATTTGAAGCGAGAGATCATCAGCGCGCTTTAAAAGATATTGATATACCTCTACTTTATTTACTCTATATAAAAGTAATTGGTTAAATCTAATATATCCCAACTTTTGCCTGACTGTGGTTTAGTCCTATGTTCTGATCTAAAACACACCTACACTCGGGTGTTTTCCGCTGAGCCAAGCAGGCGAGAGATAGGCGGAGCTTGTTACCGAACTCGGAAGCGACGCGCGAGGTGGGCGGAGGTTGCTACCGAACTCGGAAGCATTTGGCTCCATTGCCATCGAAAGGGTAGTTGGGACGTGAAGCTATACAGCTTATTGTTTACAAATATTGTCTAGTTAAAACTAATTCTCCAATGTGTATCGGTAAATAGACCTGGTCTCGGGACACCAGTACTTGCTGATATCCCTGTATATTTATCCACAAAGCGCTTCAATGACAAAGCAAGAGAACATCAGCGCGTTTTATTGTGAACCTGATTAGTACGGATCCGTGAAATTCTTTTGTCACAGTGTCAGTGCACAGTGAAGCAGCACATGTGTAAAATGATAGCGTGAGTTGAGGTTAGTTAAGTAACGGTATGATTTTAAGAAGAAGTCGTTTGCAGAAAATGTTTATGGACTCAAAGACGGATGACAATAATTCACATGAGTAATCATGTGAGCTAAAAAGTGGCATATAAAGGACATTATAATGCGACTGATTAGGATGTCCGTCTGCGTGATGGTGTATTAGTGAGGTTGCACTCAAAAGTAAGCAGCAGTCTTTATCACAAGTGCGCCGGTCTAAAAATAACCTCAATATGCTGATTGGATGTTAAAGCTACTGCTGCATTCTCCTTGTATTGCCTATAGCACATACACTCATTTATCACTGGAACAAGAAAGCACAGAATCTGAGTTAGAGCATGAAAACGGTTTAATGAATACAAAAATATCTAGTTTATCAAACGATGAGTAGCAGTTCATGCTTTTTATGGAATAATACTTATGGCATACTGTTTTCATCGCTATATTATACATGTAGTAACATGTAAAGTGCTATAATCCATGAAGGCAAGAATCATTCAACTCTATCAACAGAATTCACGTACATCCAACGTAAGTCTTTAAATATCTGAACTTACATCATCTAATTGGAATGTATTCCACTGAATTATTTCAGGCCAATACCTTGACATCTTGGCGATTTCGTGTGATAGTTTCCACCCTCAGGTCAACAAGGAGATAGGCCGTTACCAAGGTAGTAAGAACCACTTGCAGAGCCTCCAGACAGTGCGAGATCTATGCTACACATACAAGGTTCGCACTAACTATCAACTTTGTATTGTCGGTTGTCAGTTATGTTTAACAACAGGAAGGACAAGAAGCCCTTCTGACTTATATTTACTTATACATACAGCCAAATAGGATCATCAATAAATCTCGTGTTGCTGGTCTTCTACATCTATCCACAGTTCTAAAACCACAGTGCTACCACATACTGTACGCTATCTTTATCATTTCGAAAACTCTTATTTTATGATTATAGGGTTATGTCGCCCGAGACAGCAGAATTAGTTCACCCACTGTAAGAATTTGTGCCAATTGCAATATTTTGGACCTTTGTATTTCTCTCTACTTCTAATTACCTTTCATTTCCTAGTGCTTTCTTGGCAATATCTCATTTTTGGCATTAATGTTGAACGTTCGCCCAAATGAGGAAGGCTATGAGTTCCGTCCCCAGGCCGAGAAACTGGTTTTTCAGTGAGATAGCACTATAAAGTCGGCATCAGATCCACGCTATCACAAGGAGGCAAATACACCAAAATACCCTACCTCCTGCACACCCACCCACCCACCAAAACAGACACACACAAACACACACACACACCAACACACAGGTCCTTAAATGACTTAAGCTGTTGATAGGACGTTAAACGAAATAAAACCAAAACCAATCAATACCCTTGTCGTTCACAGGTGGCGTTTAAGATCAATACGGTGGTGAATTCTTGTAACAAAGACGAGGATATGGCGGGAAATATCTTAAATCTGGAACCATGTCGATGGAAAGTAAGTAAGCACCTAAATCGTAATGACGTAACAGGCGAATTGACACTATGCAAATTAATGGTAAGGACGGTAATTACAATGGCGTATCATGTGACTCAATACTGTTCTGGTTAAAGGTAAACAAAGAAAATCTTGTATATTGGAGGAATAGCTTCATTCTTCCATTAATACTGGTATCGTCCGTTAATTGTTATTGGTCCAGGAGGTACTCTGATACACTGTTATTACAGGTGTTCCAGTGTTTGTTTATCTCGTGTACACTACTATAACAGGTGTTCCAGTGTTTGTTAATCTTGTGTACACTGCTATTACAGGTGTTCCAGTGTTTGTCAATCTCGTGTACACTGCTATAACAGTTGTTCCAGTGTTTGTTAATCACGTATACACTGCTATAACAGGCGTTCCAGTGTTTGTTTATCTGGTATACACTGCTATAACAGGTGTTCCAGTGTTTGTCAATCTTGTGTACACTGCTATTACAGGTGTTCCAGTGTTTGTCAGTCTCGTGTACACTGCTATTACAGTTGTTCCAGTGTTTGTTAATCATGTATACACTGCTATAACAGGTGCTCCAGTGTTTGTCAATCTCGTATACACTGCTATGACAGGTGTTCCAGTGTTTGTTAATCATGTATACACTGCTATAACAGGTGTTCCAGTGTTTGTTAATCACGTGTACACTGCTATAACAGGTGTTCCAGTGTTTGTTAATCACGTGTACACTGCTATAACAGGTGTTCCAGTGTTTGTTAGTCATGTATACACTGCTATAACAGGTGTTCCAGTGTTTGTCAATCTCGTGTACACTGCTATAACAGTTGTTCCAGTGTTTGTTAATCACGTATACACTGCTATAACAGGCGTTCCAGTGTTTGTTTATCTGGTATACACTGCTATAACAGGTGTTCCAGTGTTTGTCAATCTTGTGTACACTGCTATTACAGGTGTTCCAGTGTTTGTCAGTCTCGTGTACACTGCTATTACAGTTGTTCCAGTGTTTGTTAATCATGTATACACTGCTATTACAGTTGTTCCAGTGTTTGTCAATCTCGTGTACACTGCTATTACAGGTGTTCCAGTGTTTGTCAGTCTAGTGTACACTGCTATTACAGTTGTTCCAGTGTTTATTTATCAGGTATACACTGCTATAACAGGTGTTCCAGTGTTTGTCAATCTCGTATACACTGCTATGACAGGTGTTCCAGTGTTTGTTAATCACGTATACACTGCTATAACAGTTGTTCAAGTGTTTGTCAGTCTCCTGTACACTGCTATTACAGGCGCTCCATTGTTTTTTACACTGCTATTATAAGTGTTCCATTGTTTGTTACACTGCTATTACAGTTGTTCCAGTGATTGTTAAGCTGCGTTTATAGGCGTTCCAGTGTTTATTAATCTGGTATACACTACTATTACAGGTGTTCCGGTGTTTGTTAATCTCGTATTCATTGCTATTACAGGTGTTCCAGTGTTTGTTAATCGGCGGTGAAAACGTCGGGAAACAAGCACTGAGGCAGGCAGAGACATTTGTCGTCTCGGAAACAGAATTCCAGACATTTCTTGACCGGCACAACCATGTGAAGTGTCTGGTACCAGAGTCTAATGAAAAGGTAGGTTACCCTGTCTATGTTACGTTTGGTTTCAGAGATCAGTAGATTGTAGGCTTCCCTGTCTATATTACGTTTGGTTACAGAGATCATTAGAATGTATGTTTCCCTGTCTATGTTATGTTTGGTTTCAGAGATCATTAGAAGGTATGTTACCCTGTCTATGTAACGTTTGGTTTCAGAGATCATTAGAAGGTAGGTTTCCATGTCTATGTTAAGTTTGGTTACAGAGATCAATAAAAGTTAGGCTTCCCTGTCTATGTTATGTTTTGTTTCAGAGATCAGTAGATTATAGGCTTCCCTGTCTATGTTTCGTTTAGTTTCAGAGATCAGTAGATTATAGGCTTCCCTGTCTATGTTAAGTTTGGTTTCAGAGATCATTAGAAGGTAGGTTTCCATGTCTATGTTAAGTTTGGTTACAGAGATCATTAGAAGGTAGGTTTCCATGTCTATGTTACGTTTGGTTTCAGAGATGAGTAGAAGGTAGGCTTCCCTGTATATGTTAAGCTTGGTTACAGAGATCATTAGAAGGTATGTTTCCCAGTGTTTATTAATCTGGTATACACTACTATAACAGGCGTTCCAGTGTTTGTTAATCGGCGGTGACAACGTCGGGAAACAAGCGCTGAGGCAGGCAGGGGCATTTGTCGTCTCGGAAAAAGAATTCCAGACATTTCTTGACCGGAACAACAATGAGAAGGGTCTGGTACCAAAGTCTAATGAAAAGGTAGGCTACCCCGTCTATGTTACGTTTGGTTTCAGAGATCTGTTGTTGGTAGGCTTCCCTGTCTATATTACGTTTGGTTACAGAGATCAATAAAAGTTAGGCTTCCCTGTCTATGTTAGGTTTACTTTCTGAGATCAGTATAAGGTAGGTTGCCCTGTCTATGTTAAGTTTGGTTTCAGAGATCAGTAGATTATAGGCTTCCCTGTCTATGTTATGTTTGGTTTCAGAGATCCATAAAAGGTAGGCTTCCCTGTATATGTTAAGTTTGGTTACAGAGATCAATAAAAGTTAGGCTTCCCTGTCTATGTTAAGTTTGGTTACAGAGATCATTAGAATGTATGTTTCCCTGTCTATGTTATGTTTGGTTTCAGAGATCCATAAAAGGTAGGCTTCCCTGTATATGTTAAGTTTGGTTACAGAGATCAATAAAAGTTAGGCTTCCCTGTCTATATTACGTTTACTTTCTGAGATCAGTATAAGGTAGGTTGCCCTGTCTATGTTAAGTTTGGTTTCAGAGATCAGGAGAAGGTAGGTTTCCATGTCTATGTTAAGTTTGGTTTCAGAGATCAGGAGAAGGTAGGTTTCCATGTCTATGTTACGTTTGGTTTCAGGGATCAGTAGAAGGAAGGCTTCCCTGGCTATGTTACGTTTGGTTACAGAGATCAATAAAAGGTAGGCTTCCCTGGCTATGTTACGTTTGGTTTCAGGGATCAGTAGAAGGAAGGCTTCCCTGGCTATGTTGCGGTTGCTTACAGAGATCAGTAGAAGGTTGGTTTACCTGTCTATGTTACGTTTACTTTCTGGGATCAGTAGAAGGTAGGTTTCCTGTCTATGTTACGTTTAGTTCAGAGATCAGTAGAATGTAGGCTTCCCTGTCTATGTTATGTTTTGTTTCAGAGATCAGTAGAATGTAGGCTTCCCTGTCTATATTACGTTTACTTTCTGAAATCAGTAGAAGGTAGGTTTCCTGTCTATGTTACGTTTGGTTTCAGGGATCAGTAGAAGGAAGGCTTCCCTGGCTATGTTACGTTTGGTTACAGAGATCAATAAAAGTTAGGCTTCCCTGTCTATATTACGTTTACTTTCTGAAATCAGTAGAAGGTAGGTTTCCTGTCTATGTTACGTTTAGTTTCAGAGATCAGTAGAAGGTATTTTTCCCTGTCTATGTTACGCTTGGTTACAGAGATCATTAGAAGGTATGTTACCCTGTCTATGTAACGTTTGGTTTCAGAGATCAGGAGAAGGTAGGTTTCCATGTCTATGTTACGTTTGGTTCAGAGATCAGTAGAATGTAGGCTTCCAGTGTTTATTAATCTGGTATACACTGCTATAACAGGCGTTCCAGTGTTTGTTTATCTGGTATACACTGCTATAACAGGTGTTCCAGTGTTTGTTAATCACGTGTACACTGCTATAACAGGTGTTCCAGTGTTTGTTAATCACGTATACACTGCTATAACAGGTGTTCCAGTGTTTGTCAATCTCGTATACACTGCTATAACAGGTGTTCCAGTGTTTGT